AAGACTCAAGGTATCTAAATCTGTAACAGCTGGGTAAAAGCCTGTAAGTTGCCCCTGACCTGGAAAATTTAAGTTATTGAATTATTAAACATCACAAGGCTTACACTCTGTGCAATTGCAGCATTTGAGATTGTACTGGCAATGGTCACAGCAAAACCTCTTTGAAGGCCCAGTGTACTCTCCCCTTGAGTGGCCTTGACTTGATTGTAAACCCCTTTAGTCACCAGATTTCTCCTGGTGTATTTAAAGTTGCATTTTAGAGATCCAAAATGAGTAATTAAACTGGAGGTCAATATGACACAGTCCATGGATCTGACTGCAGGGATATCACTGACCTTGGGAATATTTGGAAAGTTTTAATGAATCAAAGGTTACCAATCAATTGCATGTCAAGGTTCTCTTGCTAAATGCTAGGGACACTAAAGCAACACCAGAAATCAAAAGAGCTGACAGCCCTTCTCTCCAGGATGGCTAAGGCACTAGGACCCTCAGGTGGTCCTGACATCTGTCCTTGACTTGCTCAGATCTATAATCCTCTGATTTGGGATTAGAGTGATCCCATGGGGTTGGTCTTCTACCACTACTGGAATGGAACTTATGCCTCAATCCTGTGGAAAAGGGTCTTTGCAGTCTTCTAGAAGGAGGAGAATAATCTGCAACTCCTTGACTATGTGAGAAGTGTAATCTCTCAGGAGATGCCCACTCATGCTAAAACAAACACTCAAGTCTTGTTTCAGTCTCAGAAATTGAAAGTCTTTGGTGAGAATAACACTAAAATACATGCTTGAATGTACTCTATTATGTAGTTCTTATATACACATGTATGTATGTATGTATGTATGTATGTATGTATGTATGTATGTGCACACACATATGTTCATTCTTAGACATGTTGATTCTGGAGGATTCATTTGGAGAATCTCAAACAGGTGCTGGACCCAAATCAGTACCAAGTCAAAAATCTCCCTTTTTGTAGTGTACAAGTTCTCCACAGTGCTATGAGAAAAGTGCATTGAATGTTATCAAGAACAGATTCAAGCAAACATTTCTTTGGGACATCTCTCAAAAAGTACTTCTTTATCTGCAACTGAAGGTAACACCCACCTCACAGATGGATTGGTATTTCTATGAAGATTAAATGCCATGCCATCTGTAAAAACTCAGCACGGAGTCTTGAGCCAACAGGCAGAACTGGGTGTGGCTAAATGGCAGGCAGGGTCTTGGCCATGAAGTTAAGCCAAATGGTACAAAAATATCTCCTAACCACCTCAGAGGGTTTTCTGGGTTTTCAGGAGTACATACTAGTAATGTTAAACAAGTTAAGATTCTTGGAGTCTGTATTATATTAGTCAAATTACAGATTATTCAGAGCTGAGAACTAAGTGCATTTTAACACAGGAATCTTACTAATAAAAAGTACACAGTGTAACCACTGTTGTTCTTGCAAATTAATGAATGGTTTTGAGGCAGAAATGTTAACTCTTTCTCACTTTGACACCTACAATTTCCATTTCCCAATAACAGTTGCTATTCAAGTTTCTTATTTCTAAAACAAAACTTTCCCGTTACCACATGATACACTACAGTATGAGGGCGCTTAATATGCAAATTGCTAACATAACTTAATATTATCTTCCCTCCTGTTGCTCTTTAATTTGGCAGTGAACAGCTGAGGTTTGAGATTTTAATCAAAGAGCATGGGATAAGGCAATTTATAAAATCAAATGGATTTTTTCAATTGTTTCATTCACTGTTTAGAGCTATCAAATTGTAGAGTAGTCTTACAAATGCATTAGCTGATTGCTGTCCCTCCAGCTTGACCATGCTTAAATGCAGGCTTGTTTTCAAGTGGTATGAAATGATGGAAGAGGAATGCATGCAAGTTCCAGCTCCAAGGATGGCTTCTTATCTTTTAAGTCTAATTTTCATCATCTGTAAAATGGAGATAATAATTGTGCCTCCTTCACATGGTCATTGAGCAGACTGGATGAAGAACCCAAGGAAAGTATCAGCCAAAGGCGAAGCACGTGACAAGTCTTCAGCTCATCTTAAGCCAAAGTTGGGAGCTCATGCTTAAACATGACTGCTGCTTCATGTTTGAAATTTTAAAGCAGATGTATTCTGAGAACTATATTAGCCACTATGTTCTGCCAAAACAATGAGCAGAAGTGCTCAGAAGGACCATTCTTGAGTTAGGGGGAGGATTCAATCAGGTCAAGGAGCTAGTTTCCCCTGCAATGCATACCTTGGACAGGCAGCTGGGACAGTCAGTAACTGTAGCTATGGCAGTGTGGGTGTGGGGGACAGTTGATCTGGCTCAGGAGCCAAGACAGGCAACTTGATTAGATTCAAGATATCTGATCATGATCTAGGCAGCAAAATGGAAAAGAAGCACTAGTCAGACCCAGGGAACTCTCCATGAATAACTTCAACCCCACTCACAGGAAACCAAACCTCCCAGTGGGCTTCCTGAGGATGTAGAGGCAGTGTGTCTGGCAGGTAGCTCAAAGTAAATCAAAATCTTTTTCTACGTTGTTTCCATGTGGGTTGCAAGCCCTAAAAAGCTGTAAAGATAATGATTCTGTAAGGGACCCTGTCACAGTGATAATCATGGAAGACAAGAGAACATTGACCCATCTATACTGACTACAAACCACTAAGCACAGAATTTTTTTATGTTTTGTAGGGACTAGGGTTGGAGCTCAGTGGTAGAGGACTTATAGGACACACATAAATTTGATGCCCGGAATTGACAGAGTACAATGAAGTCTTGAATATTTGCCTTCCTGATAGCCTGGAGGCTTGGAAACAATTCGCCATCTAGTATTGCTTATGTCTTACATTCTGTATGTGTCTTTCACGTCTTTCTTTCTGTACAGTTGTTTCCACATGGCTGTCATCACTAATCTAGAAGTTATTATTAGCTGTGCGGTGGTGGTGCACGCCTTTAATCCCAGAACTCAGGAGGCAGAGGTAGGTGGATCTCTGTGAGTTTGAGACCAGCCTGGTCTACAAGAGCTAGTTCCAGGTCAGCCTCCAAAGCCACAGAGAAACCCTGGCTCGAAAAAACAAAACAAAGCAAAACAAACAAAAAAAGAAGTTATTATTATAATCAATAACCTTTATCAGAACTCAGCAGTCTCTGCGTACTTCCTGATAGCAGATGGCATAATGACTGTTTTTTTTTTTAAATACCTGTTTGACTCTTACTTTTTGTAGACATACAGACATTTCTTTGTCCTTCAGCCCCCAGAGCCAAATGATGACATTAGATCAACACACCATATGAAAAACTCAATTGACAGAAGACATTTGGACAAGGCAAGCTCCTCTATGAGAAAAAGATTCAGAAAACTTAGGAGTTAGGCTGACTTAAGGAACTCAACACTGAGCAGACACAAATAAACAGGGCAACCCATAGGTACAGATGGACCACCATTTACTCACAAAACACTTGAAGTGTTAAGATTAAAGCAGTGCATCAGTGAAAATGTAAGGCTAGGATGCAGATTTCAACAACTCCCAAAGGCTAACAGACACACACACAAACAATGGGGCACCAGGATCAGCAAGGCAACAGATTGTCCTGAACTGGGAGATTTAGAACAGTGGTTCTCGACCTTCCTAGTGCTGTAACCCTTTAATACAGTTCCTCATGTTGTGGTCACCCCCCACCCATAAAAAATATTTTCGTTGCTACTTTATTACTGTTATTTTGCTATGTACACAGTTCTGGAAATAGAGGTTTGTCAGCGGGGTCGCGACCCACAGGTTGAGAACCACTGCTTAAAAAGCTTAAGAGCCATGAATCTGGACCCCTAATCCACAGACAAAATGATTTCTGAAATCGAGTTTCCGTCCTTCAAATAGAATCTTCAAATCATTTAATTGCATTTTCTATTGGCATTCACAGCAAAGGCATCCTAAGGACTCAATTTTCACTTTCTCTTTTTCTCATAAATCAAGAGCGCTGCCCAGCTTGGAGGCCCAACGTTCTCCAAAGTGGTTCACAGGCGCCCTCTAGTGGCCAAGAGGCTAGTGAGCGCGAGCCGTTTCTCTAAATTTCCAGTTCTAGGGTCAGTTGAAAACACATCTGCCTCTTGTACTTTCACAGCAGTAAAGCCAGCTTATTTTTTCCTTAAAAAACTCATATCTACTCATATCTACGCAAAACTATTAGATAGTATGCCAAGCCATGTAGTCTTCTTCACACATTCCAAAAAAGTAACGTTTGCCTGATCTCATTATATGACTGAAAAAAAAAAAAGACAGCAAAGTAGCAGAGGTATATATATATAATTAACTCTTATTTAAATAACTCTTCCCAAATTTTCATCATTTCATTGATTACTTATAAATAAACGATCATATGGAGAAACTCACTGCTCACTCGTTTGCCAGTGCCGCCAGTTTGTAGCAGATGCATTCATTCCATAACCAATACCCTACCCGAGAGTTCTTAAACTGGTGTGAAAAAACACGTTTCCATTTCAAATCCTCTTAATGTTCGACATTACTTAAAACTCTGGACTCCTGGCACCTTCTGGAGAGCTGAGCTTGTCTATATCTGTCCTGCACCTATGCATGCCGCAGGTTTCCTGGAGCCCGGGAGGCAGCCCGAAGGGGCATGGGCACACTCAAGCCCAATTCAGTCTGTGATCACCTTCAATTTTTCCTTTCAAACATTCTCTTTCTAATCCCAATTAAGCTGAGTTTCCAACCAGCTGAGCATTACACAGGCACACACCAGAGCAAACACACAGTAAGAAAAGGATAAGGAGGGTAGCGGTAGCGCGCCCACCTCAGTGACAGAGAAACAAGCTCGCAGAAAATCCCCTCTCCGTTGAGTGCAGTCAAGTTCATTTGGGGTTCATGAATCTTGCCTTAATTCTAAGATGTCAAGAGCCTCACTGTGGGCTTCCATGCAGCAGATATGCGACGCAGACCCTCCCTCCATCGCAAAACCACTTTAACACATTTTCTTGGAACCAGAGCCAGGGCTACCTATATGCACAACAAGCCAGTCTGAGCAAGCTGGCAGGGACACTCACGGGTGTGCTGCTGTCGGAGAAGGTGTTCATGCTGACAGAGCTGCTCAGCTTGTCTGAAGAGACGGAGGGTGGCGACGGGCTCCTCTTCTCCAGGGGCTCCTGCCTCTGCAAGTACTCTCGCCATGCTCGCTGAATGCTGCAGAAAACCCAGCAATATGTCACTGCCCGTCATCACCCACAGACTCAGAAGGGCATGGGGGTGGGGATTGGTTTTAGAGATACAGAAACTGTAAGATAAATTGTGCTTCAAGAAACAACCCTTAGGCTTTAGCTGCATTTTGACCACCGAGACTGGATCGTAAAACAGTAACCACAACCAAACCAACTGGTTTGTCTTTCTCAGATTTGACTAGGCTAACTCAGCCTGAAAAAAAGTCAATTAAGTCCCGGGGGAGGGGAGTACACATCAGCCAAAGTCAAAGCCAAACTGGTCTGGGCACTAAATGTTCTTTGATTTATGGGACACCAAATACTTCAATTTCTCTGTTTGAGAAAAATTAATGATTCATTTATTCAGTGCATGACTTTAGAGGGTCCACCCCATGCCTAGGCCCTGGACACAGACTACAGAGCACATTTCTGGGATTCTACACACACAAACTTCACAACACTGGGCAGTATGTCTGCATGGCCAGAAGCAGTGGTCTAGTGGCCCTGATACCTGGACAAGTCTACAAGAACATTGCAGTCATTCACTTCACATACTGTGGGCTGACACGGGTGACAAAGACCACCTGAAAGTACCCTGTGCTATTTAAGACACTAAAGTAACAGGTCATTAGGTGGGTTTTGTAAATGTTTCATGCTAGACAGTTTGTTATTCTAACTTGTGGTTAGTATCAGGAAAAAAAAAACTTTCTGAAAAATAGGCACCTGTCCTGTTTCTGCGTTAAAGTTAAGGAAGTTTTCATGGATCACTGGCCCCAATCTCAGGCAGTAATATGTCTGAGTTCATGGGTACTCTGTGAGTGTACCTGGAACTTTCCCAGGCATTCACGTGTGCACACCATCTGCCAGGACTCTAGTATTCTAAAGCGACAAAGTTGTATCTGTTACTACCTCTGCTAGACTCCTAGACACACCAGACTCCTTACTCTCTTTCGAATGAGCTAGGCCAGTGAAGTTATTGGCATATGAACAAACTGATAACCCTTCCTCAAAGATGAGTTCTTTCCTCAAGGAGAATTGAATACCATCAATTCTCAATAGCTAGTGGATATAAGGAATACAAAATGCCATCATATTATTAAACTTTATTGTTTTCCTAACTAATTAAGGTTTGTGAGTTATAATATTTGAGGAAAATTCCAGAAGGTACTATGAAACCCATGTCATGAATTCAGAGGCCAATGGAACTTCAGGAAGCTATGGAACTTAAGCACCTGGACTTAAGCTTAGAAGTCAGATTCCTCTTCTGGGATCTTGTTCTGTTCCTCGTGGTTTGTGTAAAATTCTACAGTAAGATTTTTTTTTAAGGGTTGTGATGGTTTTAATAGTAATGGCACCACAGGCTTATATATTTGAATGCTTGGTCACCAGGGACTGTCACTATTTCCACAGGTGGCCTTGTTGGAGTAGGTGTGGCCTTCTTGGAGGAAATGTGTAACTGGGGTGGGGGGGGGCTCTGAGGTTTCAAATGCTCATGCCAGGCCCATGTCTGCCTCCATGCTTCTCGCCTTGATAACAATAGACTAACCCTCTGAACTTGCAAACCAGCCCAAATGTAATGGTTTTTCTTTTTAAGAGTTGCTGTGGTCATAGTGTGTCTTACAACCAGAAAACCCTAGGACAAGGGTCCTCTATCCACCGCTCAGGCCCCCTAAAGCAAGCTTTGACTCTGCTCCAAATGATACTTTCTCACTGTTTTATTGCTCACTGCTTGAAGAAAATTCATCCTTGTTGGTTTTTTTTTCCTTGCCTTTAAGGTTTTAAAGAGAATTTTAAAGTCCTACAGGTGTCTGGGCATCTCACTGCTTCTTTTAAGACAGCTGAAGACTTTTGGAAGCCATTAGTGAGTCACATGATCTGAAGTCCTACCAGCCCTCCAAAGCTCAGTGAATGCTTCAGGAGCACTTTGGATAAATCCTAGCCATTAGGGTCTCAAAATATGTTCCATTTAAAAGAAGCAAAAAGTTAAATAATATATTTATGACCACTATAATATCCAAGAGCTTATAAGACTCCAGCAAACAAAGAAAAAACCTACCTTGAAAGTTCAAGAAGAAAGGAAGAAAGAAAGAAAGAAAGAAAGAAAGAAAGAAAGAAAGAAAGAAAGAAAGAAAGGAAATGTGTCATTTGAAGCAGTGTTACACTTTAGCATGCTGAACACCAGGGGGCAGTGTAACTCTGTAGAGACCCAAACAAGGTTGAATAAATCCAAAGTGAGGGCTTTTCAAAGGTTTTATGGAATCCAGGGGGTGACATACTAATTTTAAGTCAGAGACTAAGAAAGAAGGGTTCATTTCTTCTAAGTGGGTAGGTATCTTCTTTCATTGATAAATATTGTAACAATGTCTAACTAATATCTTTAAATTGTATGAAAATATACAGTAAAGTATTTACTATTTTTAAATACATATTACAACATTTCTATGTCCTCTTAATTCTTTAATATACTTTGTTTATTTTTGAACACCTGAATTAAGCTATTGTACACATACACAGAAAGAATTATATGTAGTTGAAAGAGTATTACCCTATTATTCTTGATCTTAATAATTACAGTTTTAAAGACTACATTGCAGATTGGATAATGCCTTTAAACTTACTTCAGTGGTTAAAAATAACAAGCCATTTCTGTCACATTAGACTATTGTGCTAAATTATGGCATTATTATTTTTTAGTGGTGCAGCCAGGATATCATTAATTTGTGGGCCCCCAAAAAAGGGATTTTTAAAATCCAACTCTACTTATTCACCTTAAACTATACCTCTAACTTGATCTTCAAACAGTAAAACCTTCTACCATCAAGCCTTGCGAATACCATATTCAAACGCTGAAAGAGGGGATTAAAAAAAGGCATGGAAGCTTCTGACCCACACTCATAGGCCCCACTTTCTCATGTTAGCTTTACCGTAATCCCACCTCATGATTCTTCCTTATAGATGCAGCCTAGAGACTATCTTGTACACTTTTGTTTTTAAAATTAAACTATATTATCAATATGATTTCAAGAATTGATTGAAATAAGTGAGTATAACTTGTTCAGTCCCACCTTTTCAGTTATAAGCATCATTCATAATAGAAACTGAACATTTTTGAAGTCAGTTTTTGGGTATCAGTTCTTTTGTTTGTTTGTTTGTTTGTTTTTGTTTTTTGAGAAAGGGTTTCTCTGTGTAGCTTTGGAGCCTATCCTGACACTGGCTCTGTAGACCAGGCTAGCCTCGAAATCACAGAGATCCACCTGCCTCTACCTCCCGAGTGCTGGGATTAAAGGCATGTGCCACCAATGCCCGACTTGGCTATCAGTTCTTATTCTCTTTCCTCCTGCTATTTGCTGCTTCTGACTTTAGTCTGCTTATTTGTGTCTATTTTGTGGTGGGGGAGGGGTGTGTGCTGACAGTGGGCACCATCCTCGTTGCCGCCAGATAACCTGAGAGCAGAAGAGAGAGCTTCCATAGGAGGACTGTGATGCTCAGAGAAGGTTTGGGGAATTCTGGGATTTGAATTGGGTCCTAGAGGGTGTATTAGACTGAGGAGGGGACAGAGGTGGAAGAAAAGGCATGAAACAAAAGGAAAGCTACCAGGCAGGAGGCCCAAGGGAAGGTGCTAAAGCTAACAGGCTGTGAAGACCGTTCCCCCATAGGTTGTAATTTAGACAACCTGGTCTTAACTCCAAAATACTCTTCTTATTAGGAAGACAGAGTTCTTCTGATATGAGGCACATAGGATCCAGGAGTCCAACACAGAGGAGAGCTCCCCCAAGACAGCATTAACCCTGAAAACAAAACCTATCAGATTGGGTCTCTTTCTCAGAAGTCCAATCCCTGGAGCAATGATGACCCACATAGATACATCACTGTCTTTGTAGTTCCCAGATAATGGTCAGTAGCTGATTAGCAAATGTGTTCTTCTAACATCACGGCCTAGAAATTGCTTTAAGAAAAAAGTTCTACCTCACAAGGAAGTGTGTTTAGCATGATAGATGTTCTTGACTGGTTTTACTTCTCATTAGCAGTGGCCTTAAGCAAAATGCTAAACAGTCTGGCCTACATTTTGCTCTTCCACAATAGGAGCATATAATAATGAATTCTTTCTAATTCTGTCAAGAGGGCAACTGATAACATATGCATGTCATTTAGCCCCACACCTGACAAACAGAGCAGACCTGGAGAAACTATTATTATTGCTTAAGAAAACAAAAGACATAACAATATTTTCAGGTTATGTGCAAATCACCCATCAACATGCTAGTCTGGATTCCCAAAGATCCCACAAGCTTTGCTTTGAGGACCAGGTGGACATATTAAATACATTTGGAAAAGACACATTTGGATAGAAAAGCTAGAGCAGGCTGAACATTTTTATCTGATGTTCCCCCAGAAAATCATTTCGATCCTGTTAGGGCTGGAGTGTAAGGGAGCACAAAGGCCGTCAGGGTTCCCAATGCCACACAGGAGATGAGAGTTGGCTGGGATTTGAATCCAAGTTGCTCAAATTCCAAAGTTGGTGCTCGTAACCACTCTTTCCAAATACCTTCTATAAACTACACTTTTGGCTGAAGTCACATTTTAGTTGCTATGATAAAACATTGACCGAAAGCAGCTTTGGGGTTTATTTCAGCTTTGGGGTTTATATCTCAATGATGGGTCCATCATTGAGAGAAGCCAGAATAAGAACTCAAGGCAGGAACCTGGAGGCAAGAACTGAAACACAGAACATGGGGGGATGCTACTTACTGACTTGCCCCTCCTGCCTTCTTCAGTTTGACTTCTTATGTAACTCAAGACCCACCTGCCAAGGTGTGGCACCACCCACAGTCAACTGGGTCACAGTGATCTCTGACATCAATCTGATGTGGGATGTCCTTCTGTATATATGTTTCTCTTATTGCTTGATAAATAAAACACTGTTTGGCCAATAGAGGCAGGAAGATAGGTGGGACTAGGAGTTGAGGAAAATTCTGGGAAAGGTAGGCAGAGAGAGACAGCAAAGAGACACCATGTAGCCACCAAAAGAGTTAAGAGGTCTGGGCATTCACTGGTAAGCCAAAACAATGGGGGAATACATAGATTTATAGATATGGGTTAATAATTAAGACAGGTCTATCCAATAAGAAGCCCTAGCCATTGGCCAACAATTTAATGATGAATACAGCATCTCTGTGTTTATTTGGGGCTGAAGCTGTGGGGCACCTGTCAGGACCAGAAACTCCAGAAACATCAATCATTACCAAGAAAATGCTCCCACAAACACCCAAAGGCCACTTTGATAGAGGTGATTCCTCAATTGAGGGTCTGTCTCCCCAGTTGACTCTAGCTTGTGTCATGTTGATATAAACTAACATAAGTAGGTGGAAATTATGCTTTAACAACGTGATTTAGCATCACTTTTTATGAAATAGTCTCACAAATTCTATATCTCAACAAGTTTTTTTCAAGTTATCTAAACTTGCCAAATATATTTTCAGATGAAAAAAATGATTAATGTCCAATACACCTATATGTTGTTCTATCATAAAATATTGTCAAAACATAAGTAATGGTTGGGAGGAATTTCTTGATATTCTTTTATAACCTGTAAACTGTGGCCCAGTCATAAAAGATGACACTCAGGGGGCCTGAGAGGTGTTTTCCACAGGGCTCTGACATTCATTTGTTGTAGATTTTCATGGCCAGACCATTCTAGCCTCCACTCAGAGAAGGCTTAGCAGTACTCCTCAGGCTGTGCTGGCATCCTTCATCTGGGTGTTTTCTCTTGACTGTCTGATGGAGGTTTGCCTTCTCCTGGTGTGGGGAACCTGCCTTTCACTGCCCCCAAATGTCTTCCATTAATCCTATGTGATCCATTTATCATTCAAGTCTAAAACTCAGCCCTCCCTTCCCGCCCTCCCTCCTCAATGCTCCCTCCCCCCTCTCATTGTATCACTTATTGAGGCCTCCACGTCTTTGTTCTGACTTTGCCCTACCACATTACTGGCTTTTCCTTTCTTTTCAATGCTTTTCTTTTCGAAGTTTCTGAGTGTGAGATGCCAGTTGAAGGGATCATGTCCTGCCCCACACCCCATGCTGGGGTTCACACTCACACAGGACAGGCTGCCCACACTGAGACAAGTTCTTTTCTTGCTTGTCTTTTACCTTTGGGGATCTGATCACCAGGGTTGCACTTGCCAGAGTCTCTATCTCTGCCTTTGCAGTTCAGAGCTCACCATCAGCTGTTTGTATCATGGGAGCCCAATAGTGCTTCTTCATGGTGGAGGAGGGAGATGTCTCCAGAAGATATGATAAAATGACCCTTACTCTTCTCTTTCATCAGGAGAAGGCAGATGCTTATGTTGTCACCACCAACAGAGGTCAGAGGCCCTAAGACAAAGCCTATGACTTTGGAAGGTGACCCTAAGAGCTCAGACAAAGGCCATTGTATTAGTTCCCTTTATGCCTGAACACTGTCCCTTGGGAAGCAAGGCTGGACATGCCCTCTCCTGTAAGGATGCCAAGGACTTGGGGGAAGGGTGCCATAACAGATATGCCTAGAGGTGCAAGAGACTCAGCCAATGAGGAGGTAAAGTCTGCATTTATGAGGGCCTGTGGTCCCATCCTCCAGGATTCCAAGCCTTGGGGCCTACTTAAAGGAGACAGCTTCCTGGAAGCATGAGTGCTCACCATTGGCGGGGAGACAGGAAATCCTCAGGCAGTTTAGCACAAGGGGAAGTAGAACAGCCTGCTGCAGAAAGGAGACTAGGGAAGGAGGAGGGGAGAGAGATGGGCATAGAGGGTGTGAAGTTGTGGGTTATAGCAAGTGCTGTGTGTGTGTGTGTGTGTGTGTGTGTGTATGTCTTTCTCTGTCTCTGTGTGTCTCTCTTTCTCTGTCTGTGTGTTTGTGTGTGTGTGTGTGTCTGTGTCTCTCTTTTTGTCTCTGTGTGTGTGTCTGCGTATGTGTGTCTCTATCTCTCTGTCTGTCTCTCTGTCTCTGTCTCTGTCTCTGTCTCTCTGTGTGTGTGTGTTTGTGTGTGTGTGTGTGTGTCTCTCTTTCTGTCTCTGTGTGTTTGTGTATGTGTGTCTCTTTCTGTCTGTGTCTCTGTCTGTGTCTGTGTCTGTCTCTCTCTCTCTCTCTCTCTCTCTCTCTCTCTCTCTGTGTGTGTGTGTGTGTGTGTGTGTGTGTGTGTGTGTGTCTGTGTGTAGGGAAGATATGCAACCTGCCCCAGGAGTTAAGAATTTAATAACCAGATTAGACAAAACTCACTGAGCTGGAGTGAATTCTCTGATAGGACTCAAATTCCATTATTGGGCAAGATTAAGCGCTCTCCCCCACCTCAATCCCCTCCAGTGACTGGAAATAGGGTTCAGAGTTATTAGGAGAGATAAAAAGCATTCATTTCTACTTCACTGAGCTGAGACCCCTCCATCACACCAGCAAACATAAACTCACAAGGCCTCAACTCTCTCAGCTGGCTGGACTCACAAATCCAGAGAGGTTTTTTTTTTTTCTCTACTTATTTCTCGTCCTGGCACCCACTCCTCTGCCTTGATATATGGGAGATGATGAGAACTTAAGAAGAAAAAAGACCACGCTATTTTGCTAACTTAATTTTATCATCATTCAATGAGGCACTCTCATGTTTTTCACACATAACAACTTCCTTTGCAGCGCCTTTGCATTAACAGGACCTCATCTTAATGAGATTCTAACAACCAGGCAACCTGTGCTCACACTCCAGCATGTTCTGCACTGAAACTGATACTTCTTACATAAAACAATTCAATATCCAGATTCATTCTATCAGGAAGTGAGGCACAGAACTTCCTAGCAGGGGGTAAGGCTGGTTCAGAGGCTGTGTCTGGGCTTATCATGAGGCGTAGGCTGGTTGCTCATACTGTGACGATCATCTCAAGGATGTGTAAGGCTGGCACAGATTTGCAGTGGTGTGGATGTCTATTTTCTTCACTCAGCAGGATATTACAAATCTGTCATTCCATTGCCGTCTAAATTCCCTAATCCAGCAATAACTTATTGTTCAAAGCTCAACACCCCCAGGCACCCTTCTTCAGAGTGACTTCCTCAGGCTTCTCTGCAAATGATCAGATGTTCTCAAGTTCAGATATGTTTAAACTCTGTGGGTGTTAAACTTCTTAGAGTTTTAACAGGGGTGAGGAGGAGGGGTTGGGGGAGGGGAATATTGTGTACACCAAGCAGTGTTGGCAATTCTTATAAGCCCCTCAATTATAGCGGGGCTTTGAGTGAGCCCTGGGGTGGGGCAGAATTACAGAAATCATGAATGGGATATCCTGTCGCCCCATGAGATTCTGATAGCTCCCCTCTCTACTTAGAATACCTTTAAAGGGTTGATAACCTGCCTTCTAATAGGGCTTGCTTCACTCTGGGTCTCACTGGCTTCACTTAATTGGCGTTGAAGTGTGTTTCATTGTTACAGTCACTCCTAACAGGAGGTGGGGCTCACACTAATCTCTATTGGGAAAGGCTATGCAGAAGCATCATCCATCCACCTTCAGAAGAGCAGGGAAGATAACGGTTGTTCCCCCCACCACACACATTGATGGCAGGGATGAAATTGGGAAGTTAGAAGGGGGTTAAAAAGCAGCATGTGTGCACACATGTAAGGTGTTGCCTCCAACGGCAAGATGAAAGAATGAAAAATGATAGAAGGAATTGTGCTAGGCTTGAAAGGAGAACCAAAAACAGTGAGTGAAAAATTCCATAAAAGTACCTCCTAACATTGGCCAGTAGATAGTGGTATGCTCTAAAAGCACCTTTGTTGCTGCCTAGGCCCTGGCTGGACCTGTAGCACACAAATGTGAAAAGAAGAATTTATGATTCTGCACCAATACACTCCAAGTGTGTTCAGGAGTACAAACATACATACCCATAGAACGAGTTGCTTCATGTTACTTTGCAACGACTTACATTTTCACTTTGGACTCCAAGGGCTGTAGACTGAGGGAGTACTTTTCAATGTTATTCTCCACATCCATGGCCAGCTGGTGACTAGAAAGAGAAATGGTTTGTGTCATTATTGCTCAACCCAGGAAGTCATTGTTTACAGTGAAAACACTTCAAACTTACACGGTTTTGAAAAATATGATGGAGATTTATTAAAGGAACCCTTGAAATGGGTAGTAAGTGACCTCACTCTAGAAAGAAAGTATTGTATTTATTTTCCCTTTAGCGCCTAGTGGAAAAACATGAGGAGACAGATAAATTCTGTATGGCCACTAGATGGTGCCACGAGCCCAAAATAGCTCTTGTGAGGGATAGAAAAAGATCCTTTTACTCTGTGACATTGGGATTCAGGATTTGCTGTTAATTCTTTATTCTTCAGCCATGTGTGTGCTAGAAATGATTCAGAGCATGGGGTCAAATGGTGAAAACACCACTGATTGTCCCTGTCCTTTCAGTCTGGGAGGTGTGTGTAATGTGTATAACTGTGCTTAATGTAAGGTGTTACACACAGTTACATAAATTGACCTAATCCAGGGTAGGTGAGCAAAGACTCGCTTCACAATCATGTGATCTTGTAGGGGTAGTAGCCTTATAACCAGGGCATTTTAAAAGTTCAGTCTATTAAGCATCCCATTGAGCCAGGTGGTGGTGGTGTATGCCCTCGGGAGGCAGAGGCAGGTGGATCTCTGTGAGTTTGAGGTAAGCATGGTCTACAAGAGCTAGTTCCAGGACAGCCTCCAAAGCCACAAAGAAACCCTGTCTCAAAACCCTACCCCCCCAAAAAAAGCATCCCATTAATTGCAAATCAGCAAATTGGCAAAGAGTATCTGCAATATAGGCAATATAGCCTGCAATCACCAAAGACAGTAATAATAAGTTCTCTTTTAATAAAGAAAACATTCATATGTCTTAATTTGGGCATATAAATTACACATCATCAACAAGATGTAAATGACAAATATCTATTGACTTGAGCTGGCTAGCACTAGTGCATCTCATCAATAACTTCCTGTGGTTAATCAAGTCATTATATATCAGTACAATGGTGGAACATGCGATCACAAGTCTCCTACTAGAGATAGAGCCTGGTTCAATAATTACAAAAGAGCAAGGCACTCCGACTAAGGTCTTACTTAAGTTAATAAGCAATTATCATTAACAATAGACTCCCAAGAAGCCTCCTAATTAATAGGGTACCAATTAATCGTCTCTTTCTTTGGATACTTGCCAAGGTCTATTGTGTCTGTGTATATGTGTGCATGTGTATGTGTGCACATGTGTGCACACATGTCCATATAGGCAAATGCCCTCAACTGGCCTTACACAGTGCGGAGCTGTAGCTTCCCTGCCATTCACACTGACTGTCTTCCACAAAACCCTGTCGAGCATTTGGAATAAATGTAATGTTCCAAAGGGGAATAACCGATCAACTGCTATGACACCATGATCACTTAACTTATGGTCATTTTGAATAGCAGCAGTGATTTACATCTCTGCACCTAAGTCAGCTACAGCTGTAATGAAATGCCTGATCTGCTCACTTGAAGCACCTCAGGTTTTTCCATCAACTCTGACAGTTTTCAAGGACATAGTCCTGCCTGGAAGCAAACCAGGAAAATTTTCCAGCAATCTATGCAAATGTACCAAGAAATCCATGTAAATGTGGGGTCTGGTGCCTACTGCATTTGTTTTCTGTCATTGACAACCAGGAAAGAGACAGTTTCTTTGGAAACTTTTCCCTGCATGGAAGGACTTGTCTGTGTGCTTTCCCATCGATAGAATCTTCCATCCTCTCAAGAGAACAGAACACATCTGCAAGACAGACAGACCATCTCAGCAGCTGTTAGATTTCTCGGGTCTCTGGATGGCACAAGAGAGTAAGCTGGCATTGGTTGGGGGCTGGGTGGAACAACCCCCCACACACATAAACTTCACAAATGTTCACATGTCTTCCTGAGAGAAGAGAGCTGGGGAATTTTCATGTTGGCTGTACTGAGAGATTTAATAGGGAGCTGTGGTCAATTAGCAAGGAAAAAAAAACTTTTGGAGTTCATTTCCTCCATTTAAATCAATAATGGAAAACAGATGTAGCCAGGTTGTATAAATGAATGGGCTAAACATCACAGAGACAGTATGCCCTCAGAAAATGTGGCTACTCGGGGAGTTTACTGAGTAACTGCAAAGGTTGAAAAGCATCAGCCCCTCTGGTCCTCACCCTGACTCCTCAGAACCTCTTGAAAGAAGCTGCTAAATACTGCCTCCAGGACCCCAGATTCAATTTATCTGGGGTGGACCTTGAGCCAGGACATTTTTGTTAGGTTGACTCTAAATATCCAGGATGAAGAAGCATGTTGTAGACTTAATGTCATTACAACATGAGTCTCCATGGAAGAAAAATCTTTCTAGAATGAGCTAAAATACTCATCATTATTGTTTACAGAAACCTAGTGAAAATTTGGTAAGGAAGCATGCCAGCACATATGAGATAAACTACAGAGGCACGCCTGGAACTTCAGCTCCAACACGCTAGAGACAAGATGACCTCTGGGGTCCTCAGGATTTCAGCCTGGTCAAGAAAACACAACCCTAGGTCTGGAGAGAGACCCTACCTCAAAGGAATAGACATGCCCCCACACACATGCACACACATGCATGTGTGCATAAAATCACACACAGAGACTCACATAAGTAAGTAAGTTTCTAAATTATATGTATTAAGTGATGTTTACAAATTGACATACATTGTAGGGTACTTAAATTACTTTAATCTGTCCCCCTGAATGTATATCATTTCTTAGGGTAAAATTTTTAATATAAATTCTTCTGGCATTCTTTGGACTATATAAAAGTCTACCATTAGCACCCATTCCTCTGTCTTTCTCCACCCCTCCATGCTGCCCCCACCCCACAGCCAGCCTCTGGAAATTCCCTCCTATTCTCCATTTCCATGAGTTCGAACTTTTTAGATTCCACAGGAGTGGTAAAAAGTTCTTTCAGTGCCTAGCTTGCTTGTTTAATATAAGTTTATCCATATTATAACAAATGACAGGATTTTATTCTTTTGCAGATGAATAGTATTCCATTCTGTCTATGACCATATTTTCTTTATCTGTTCACTGCCCTTGAGGCTGTCTCCATGTCTTGGTGGTTCTGAGTCATGCTGCAGTAGGTGTGAGTACAGATGTCTCCTGACAGACTATTTTCATTCCCTTAAGATATATATTCTGTAATGGAATTTCTAGATCATGAAGTAGTTCTACTTTTTAAATTTTGAGAAACCTCCACAGTCTTTTCCATAATGGATAAGTTCCTTTATTCTTATTTACTCATATTATGGGACCAAGCATGACAATAATGGCCTACATCAAATGTGTAACTCAGAAACTTCATCTAATCAACAGTCAAGAAACTAGTCTTAAGTAGGTGGCATGACAAGGCCATAGACCACAGAAATGGGAAAACCAGAGATGCCCTGTCTAAAGGGGAAGGGAAGGGAGCTGGCAATGATGTTGCCATTGTCGTCGGTTGTCTCTTTTGATGCCTTCAGGAAGATTTCCCAGCCAGTAATGACATCTTTAAAGATACTTGACCCTGGGGCTCTGGTGGTTAATGGTGTATCCAGACTCACAGGAGTAGGGAAAAGCAGAAAGAGAAATCATATCCGATGTGTTCCCCTTACAAGAGTATTTTTTGCATCCTGGGTGTTTTCAGTCCTTTCTTCTAAGGCACAACTTGTACCTGTAGGCTCAATTCTTAACAAAAACATCCCCTTTGGTGTGGCACAGGATGGCATTTCAAAATCACTGTCATTCTTGTTACTAACATGGCTGTTTCCATAAACCCAGTTCCCTAATCATTGTTCTGCTTTCTAGAACAGAAGAGCAACTTGACTGCTCCTTCAGGAAGCATTTAACAGCAGCCATTGTGTTCCTTCTGAGACTCCTTCTTTTTCCCAGGCCCCTCATGCTTACTTCTTTGGAGTAGTTGATGCGGTTTGAGAGCTCTCATAGTTGTAATTTACCTACTTCTGAATTCTCAAGGATACTAACATCGTTTTTTAGACTCCAGAACCACACATGCCACCGATGCCTGTTGGGAGTACATGAGAACTCAGCTGAGGATTTGGCTGATGGTTGACATGGGGTTCTGGAGGCCTCCAGACCCAGGTTTCATTCTTATCTTTACTAACCAGCTGAGTACACAGAGTACACTTGGACAAATTGCTCATCCCTCTCTGAGTCTCGTTGTTTATCTGTGAAAAGGTCATAATGCTGCCTAGGTCAAAGGCCATAATGAGATTTGGTAGAGGAAACATCTGTTAAGCCTTAGTAATATAGACTACATTGTAAGACCTCAGTAACAGATGGCTTTTTTTTTCTTATTCTGTCTTGATGACCCATATCAGTTTATCAGTTGAACATATTAATGTTTTAGAATAATTATAAAATCACAAGCCATGATAAAGTTCAATAAACCCTTGAAGCCTTTGGACTCAAGTTGAAATTAGGGTAAGATTCTCATACGCTCTAAATAGTATTTTATTTTAAAATGCAAGCATAAGATACTTTTATCTTTCTGTTTTGAATTTTATTTCATGTTGAAATGCTATTTTGAATGTACACTCTATTAGCCTCTTTTGTCCTTGCCTTGTGTCCAAAATTATGCTTGCCTCCTGTGACTAAAATTAAACACAAAATGGGACAAGTTTCAGACTCCTGGACCTATGCAGCAAGCATCTATGCATTTAATTGTTCAGTTAAGCAGCAGGATTACCCTAACATATCGATCTATCTCTCAAATACAACATAATTCTTAGCCAAAAGATACAATATGCAACTGTCAAATTTACTTATTCATTTTTGCCTTGTCAGGATTTATTTTTATGTCATCTTCTCAGGTTAGCAATTAATTTAACTTCCTTGGAACTTTTACTTACTTCTCAAGCAAATATTTTCCATCATCAACTTGTTCTAAAGGATTCTGTAATCTTTTCAGTTCTTCCTGTAAAAAAGAAAAATTCAAAAATTACTATCTTGTAATTTTGGCACTATTATCTGAGAGTGGCTGTTAAGCAGCATTGAGACAAGCCACCACCGAGTCTGGGGGGAAGCAGCAATTGTTACGTCTTTAAACACTCATTACATTGTAATCCCTGCTTTAATTGGAATACAATAATCATACAAATGGATTGATTTTTCATCACCAAGGAGAATGCTTCCTGTTATTTTTCCAGGGTGGGTATTTTTTTATGAGTCCACATACATACACTCTTTCCAATTTATGACTCCACTGTAGTTTGCTGTTTGATGAATGGGCCTCTAATGAATGTGTGCTGGGTTTGGTCCTGCAGCAAACTTTCTCTCTTGTCTATTGGTAAGCTTTTCTATGTAGTCCACAGTTATACACACAAGCACATGCACATACACACGCTCACACACACATACCTTCCTCTGAATTTTGAATATCTGTAGCCACTGTGATCTCATTAACCACAGAGATATTAAAGAAGTTGATATGGGTTCTTGATGGGACTGGCAGCAGGTCCTCAGTCTTAATAATCACAAAGAGGAAATGTAAAGAAAGCTTCGGATATTCTGTTCCTGAGAAGACCATTTCCTGAGGCCTGTTTCCTGAAAAGTGCTGAAGTGACCATTCCCAAAAGAAAGCCACAATCAGAACTGAAATTATCCCTCACTATTGGAGGGATTGATGTATTGATGTATGATGTATGTATTTTGCATATTGATGTATGATTTTGCGACTCTAATATCCCAGGGGCCCAACTCTCTTATGCAAAGTGGCAAATGTTTGCATATTTTTGTATATACCTTACACAATTCTTTGCACACATTCGAAATCATATCTGCACTGCATTGCACATTGCACATCTCCACCACCACCAGGCTGCTCGCAACTTCAGCCCTCCATCAGCAGAGGCCTCTTCCTTGAATTCCTTTCAACAGTCCCTGAATTATCTTGTTTCAGCTGAACCATGCCTTTCTGTTCTGGGAACAGCTAAGTTGTTGTGAGAGCAGAATCAGCACTGTTTAGAAAAGAGTTTCAGCATTTAGAGGGCTTTATCAATGACAAACTTATCTGAATCCTTTGGGATGCCTTCTCCCTGAAGCCCTCAAAAGAGGGAAGCATTTCTTTCCTGTGAACTACATGGTCTAGATACAGGATGGTTTCTCCTTACTCCAGATTATGTCTTCCAGATTCTCTCAACTCCTTCCTTCATCACGTCAACATGCCCACTACCCAATCTGGGTCTTGTTCGCCGTGCTTGTCATTTTTACTACTATTTATCCAGCTTCTTATGAGATTTCAAACAGTCTAGATAGGAAAGTGGATGGATAATTGACAGATAAAAAGTGAATAGATAACCTAGCATTTTGCTCTTACAGTAAAATTCTTCTTTCAGTCTTATAAATTTATTCCTTATATCTGTCTTCTTTTCTCCAATCCTTCCCTCTTACTTTGTCATATCTCGCCGCACCTTCAATGGCATAATCAGTAAATGCAAGTTATATAAATGGTAGTGCTGACACCCACTTTTACAGAGAAACGATTTGTGTGTGTGTGTGGAGGATCCTTAATTATCTTTGAAAGCCAGAGGTGAATTTGTAGGCTCTTCACGTTCTCCCCATTGTGGTTACTAAAGAGCACCAGCTCTTGGTAAACTTTTCACTTTCTCATCTGTGGTGTGTGATGGTGTGGACTGTTGTTACTTTACTTCCCTTGGACACTCAGGGAGAAGAACAGGAAGGAAAGGGTTGACATACTCTGTGCCAGGCACTTTCTCCATTTTTTTCAGTTGTGGGAGTCTTCTGGGAGGCCACACTTTGATGCATTGCTTCCTCCAATCTGACCATCAGTGTTCTAGCAAATCATATTAAACATAAGGTCAATGACCAACCCAGCTTTCCGAACAGCTGCTCTACTGACTATTTAGAGGCTCGATTTCATCATTTGGTTATTTAGGCTAACTATACAAAGCATGCCACTTCAATTGCCCTGGAAGTTTCAAAGCATATCCTCATTTACTCAGAAATGAATTAAGAAGTTGGTTTGTTCAACAATCCCACTGGGAGTTTTGTCGTTGACAAAGTTCTATTTTATCATTAAACACATATACAAGTACTCTCTGCCACCACTACTTTCTCCCACTGGTATTTTCTGTGTCTGGTTTTGTATTTGGCAATGACTTTTGTTGTTGTCTTTGTTTTTTTTTTGTTTTTTTTTTCAGAAGCCATTAATAGCTCCTTGGTGTTGTGGAATGGGCTCCTGAATCTGAGGTCTGACTACAGCAGGAGCAGCTTGCCTCTCTCTGCTTTACCTCCACTCTTCCCATGCTCCTCTAAGCCTGTCCAGATGAAAGGCCACACAGTTCCAGAAGACAAGTTCTCCTCCATGACACCCAGTGACTGAGTCTTCTCAGCTTTCTCTTAGCCCACCACATTCTTCTTCCAGGAACACTCTAACCCCATGCCCCTCCACAAAGGTCTTCCCAAGCCCCTAGAAGGGCTCTTGTCTCCAGGCCCAGTTCCCCAGCAACCTGTCATCATTCCAGTTTTCATCTTACTCTTTGTCTGTCTCTCCCACTAAATTTCTGGGGGTCGGGGCCGCTGTCTCTGTCACCTGGTGTATATACCCCCAGAGTGAAGCATTTATGGCTTAATGGACACATGTTGAGTAAATGTATTGAATCTGCTGTGGCAATGATGCAGACACTTCAGCAGTCTGAGGGGTTCGGTCTCTTCTCTCCCACATGGCCCCTTTACTGTTCTCTCCTCTGTGTCTTGGGGAGCTTGTGACTTGGGTTTTTATCAGCTATGTCCCTTTGTTCATGACTCTTGGGAGGCGGGCACCAAGATGAGTGAGAGGAGCAGAAGGAAGAGGTCAGCAGGTTTATGCTCTTGCTGGAACACAGCTTGACAGGAGGTGAAAGCCACAACTCCCAGTAGCCTCTCTCACATATCATTTCCAGCCATAGTCCTATGACTCCTCCCTCTCCTTTCTTCTCCAGCATTTTCCCTTCTTTTTCTTTTCCCTCCTTTTCTTTCCTCTCCTCTTCTTCCTTTCCCTTCTTTCACACAATCAATTGATGGCTTCAGAGTCTTCCCAAACCTGGAGTGTTGCCCTAGACCCTGCCTTCACTTCCTTATACTTTTTCAATCAGTATAAGTGAGTTATCTGTTTTAGTGTTGGCCCTAGCTAAAACACCAAGAATCCTAAGTTGCTTTTGTTTGACCTCCCTGGCAATTAAAGCAAGTACAATGAAGAAAATGATTCAATCGCGTTAAATAACAGAGTAGCATATCTACTCAAAGCTGGTCTCTTGAAGGAGAGGCTGTCGCAACTGAACCCAAAGCTCCAAACTTATAGTATGGCTCAGTTTCACTCAAAAAATAATAAGGCAATTCCTACCATATTCTATTTGGCTACTATCTTTTTAAAATATTTAAGCTCAATGCCTTTGCAAAATACAAGATGAATTATTCAGGGATGATCCATATACACAGAACTGCAAATTCTTCCAAATGAAATCTGTTATGAGTGGTGAAGGAGTGTAAGCTATAGCGTTATGGTAAATAATTGACCGACTACTTGTCATGCTTCCCACTGCCAAGAGAGTTTTTCTGATGTAACTTGGGTGTGAAATACTAGCATGAATGGCCAATAATAGGGTATTTGACTTTTTGTGTCTGGCTTCTGCCTCCTATCCTAATCTTGCCAAGTGTTTTGTCAAACACAGTGGGTGGAGCCAAGAGACTGGCAAGTTCATCTCTGTGGCCCTATACTCAGCTACTGGACCTGCTGAATTATCAGTCTTGTCTGCCTTTTTGTTTTCTCTATCTTTACTCCATCTATGTTCTGAATAAGTAGGGTATATTGTTTGGACAGGTTTAAAATAAAAAATCTTTTCAATATTGCTTTTCCTCTAAAGTGCACTTATGTCTAAATACAACCTCTTAACTCTTCTGAATTACACATTGGCCATGTTATTCCCACCATGCCCCAGAGCATCTAGGGAAAGTTAAAATGTGGACACAAACTGCAATTTAGTTCATTTTATGGCCATGGGTGACAAAACCAGTGACACTCACATAAATCAGGGTGTGTGTGTGTGTGTGTGTGTGTGTGTGTGTGTGTGTGTGTCTGTGTGTCTGTGTGTCTGTGTGTGTCTGTGTTGGGAATAATTTCATATTAACCTAAGGGTAACTATTTAACAAAAGTTAAAAGCCAAATGTACTTTTGATGCTTTTGACTACTTAATCATTCAATTAAATATTAATAGGTTTCTTCACCAATACCCCCCCAGATCCTTTTTTTAAATGGAAGTATAATAAGGGCACTAAAAGGGGGGTTACTAATGTTTGCATAATTTGGAAAAGTAGAAGACATAAAATCTATACTAATTTTAGCTCTGCATCATTAAACATGAAATATTGATTATTGCTCTTTGTAACGGGGTTTATGAAGCTAGCTAGGCTGCTGTGTCCACATAAAGTGAGTCTGATGCTTTGCCCTCGGACCCCAGTGGCTGTAAATGATGCCCCTTGATGACAGCTGGGAGGCAGGCATTCTGATGCACAGCCTTAAGAGATGCATTTCCCAGATTAGACCAGGGATGACCCAGCTGCACAGCTCAACTTCAGAAAATTAAATTGGAGGGAGTCCAACCTCTGTTGAAATAACTGTGTGAATTATAACGCTTCCATAGGCCTTGTTATAATGTAAATGTGCTTACAATTTACTACCATTTCCCCCATCCCTGCTGTGAATATGGGCATTAATAGTCATCCCATATATTTAAAGGCATCAAAAATAAAAGTGCAAGATTTCTGTTTTCTCCCTTTGGAAGAAGGGAGGCGAGTTTTCTTTTTCTTCTCTCATTTTGCCATTTCCTTTTTCTTTTTAAAAATTTTATGTAAAAAGAGCATAGAGTTTGTTTATGTATTATGCATTCATGTTCTTTATGGCTGGCAGACCTGTAAATTTCACCCTGGGAAGTTACCTAGCAGCTGAACATGAATTTCTGTGGAAGGAAAAAATGGCTAATGCGACATCAACAGCTCATTTAAGGGACACATTCAGGTAAGTTATGGGCACATGGGTGAGGTGGTAGACTTTAAAAGACATTTTCTGTTTCCAGCACTCTGAGGATATTCTGACAGTCCCTCTACTTCCAGAGGGTCTGTGACTTTATGGCAGTGATCATGAGGTGAGGGAGTGAATGAGTGAGTGTGGGGCTGCTCTGTGCCTGTTCACAGCAGAGGTTTTAGTCACAATAAACTTAGAGACTTAGTAATGTAATACACAACCGGAATTATCATTGATCATTCTTTATTCCTGTCTGGCCAGCTTATATTCACAGGATACCCTAGACTTCAGCTGCCAAACATGAATGTCAAACACCTACCTAAACATATTTGAACAAATACTAAGGGACCATGTTCTATGAAACTCAGTTTCAACTACTGAGTCATTGTCCTAGGTCCCTGGGTATGAGGTAAATTCAGTCCTTGGATTCTCTTGGAGTGCATGGTGTTTTTTGAAAGCTACACTGATGATGATATCACCAGGACCAATCCTTTGTCCACACCCAAAAAAATGCTAGGGTGAGTCAGCCCCAGAATGAAAAGCCCTCTCTGTTCTTTTGTGAGCTGGAGTGTACCTTTATGAGCTTTGGCTGACTTCAGATCACAGACATTCTAATGCTATCCCTATAAAATAAAAACATTCACTATAAAGAACCTTACACATTCTAATAAATCCAGAATGTTAGAATATTAAACATTATTACTAATGATTTTAAAGTTGTCCCTTTACTCAAAGTTTATTTAGGGGGTTGATGAGATAGTTCCAAGAATAAAGGCACCCTGTCAAGCCAAACAACTGGAGTTCAGTCCCCAGGGACCATAGGGTGGAAGGAGAGAATTGACTACCACTAGTCTTCCTTCAATCTCAACATGCATGCCTTGGTACTCATACACATGCATACAGACATGTGTGTGTGTGTGTGTGTGTGACACACTTGAACACACACACAACACACAATTTTTTTCAAAAGGTATATTCAGTTTAGCAGCAGGAATAGCCATAAAGGAAAATCAATTGAAACTGAAATACTAGGTACAAATATTTTGTACTTTATGTATTTTTACATTCTGGGGGACCATCCCACAGACCATGCTTCGAACTGAGAACTCAAATACAGAAAGCACATAATCTCATACATAAACACCTGTCAGAATGCGGATGGAATAGCAAAGGTGGATAAGCAAATCCATATTCCAACTCCAGATTTCCTGTGCTGCAGGACCACAGCAAAACACTGGCAATCACAGTCGAATGCACCTCCCACTTGCTTACACCTGATTCGGGAATGCATCTCTTTGCAGTGTAGCAAAGTTTCATCAGGAAATGTCTTTCTTAGTCCAGTTGAAAAATGAGTTTGGGTTCCTTACATACTCACTGTGGAATAGTGTGGAAGCCACCATACCCTCCGACCAACCCACTCGTCTTCCCTTCCTTCAACCAACACCATTACTCTGGGCACTGTTATTATTCACCTATATTATTCACCAGAACTGTCATAGAGAGGACACATTGCCTTTATTTCCAGTAATTTAATTCTCTGATCTTAAAACTCACTGTTAGCCTAAATTAAAATAATCTTCAGGATTAAAAATACCCCAAGTTCTCCAACATACAGTTTTGTCCCTTTATCCAGAAATCCTACAAATTTCCTTTCAAAATGTGATTCATGTATTTGAGTGTTTTCTTCTGCAGCTAATTGCATTTTGTTTCTTTGAATTACTGTTATTACTACTAAGATTTGATGAATTTTATTAGTTGCACAAAGTAGCATTTCAAATCATGTCTGCAAGGGCTGGCTGGAAGCTCTGTCAGCACAGTGTTTGCAATGTGAGCATGATGACCTGAGGTCAATCTCCAGTAGCCACATAGGAAGCTGAGTATGGTGTGCATGCCTGTAGTGTCAGCATTGGGGAGGTGACACAGAGAGGTCACTGGAGCTTGCAGACAGGATAGGGTAAGCTAATCAGGAATGCTCAGATCTCCCAGAGTGACTGTGTCTCAAATAATGTGAACAACTCCTGAGAAACAACACCCAAGGATGACTCTGGTCACCAAAACACCAATGCAAACATGTACCGGACATGTGTGAGCCCACACTTATTCACCTGCACCTATATGGACATTCACACATTCCCCTATACACTCAAAACCATGTTGGCGAAAAATGCAATTAGCCAATTTGAATTGCCTGATTCCGTAACCTCAACATTACTCTTACCATTCTGGTCCCATGAGTGTGTTGATGCAGGAGGTAGCATAAACAGTGACATTACCTCACCAATGGTGTTCATAAAGGAGACCTTACAATGATTGTCAATATACTCAGATTTACTGTCTGTGACATTCATGTTACTTGCATGATTGCTGTCTGATCCTGGGTCTCAACTTCATCATTCATAGGATGATGGTATCAATGGCTACCACACATTGTTATGAATGATTAATTACAATGCCAAATTTAAAAGTGTTCTGTATGCTCTTTGGTGCTAACCATCCATATGGAGAATCTTTACATTTCATAGTGAAGATAGCAGGTATATCATTCTTGTGGTATACTGTAATTCTCTTCTGTCTGTTCGAGCCCTCTGAGCCTAAATTGCTTCTTCTATAAAATGAGAATATTATTTGTATGAAATTTCAAGAGTTGCTAAAAAGGATGATGCTCTAACTTCATCGAAATCATTGTCTTGAACTAGACAGAGGGTTAATTTCACTGTTGTTTACATTCTCTGCTATTATTATCTCTCACACACTTGGTTAAAACATTGGCATGCACATAGATACCTTTCCTGGCCCACTCTATATCCAGCTCTTTCTATTTATTTCCTATTTGTTCAATGTTATTCAATTTCCACTGTCTATAGTTGAAAAGTTATGCTTGCCAGAGTGAGCAAGCTTATATACAAACATTATTAGGATAGACTCCTGCCTTGGCCCTTTCTTCCTCTCCATCACTAGATCCTAAGCCTTAAGCCTCACAGGAAAATTGGAGCAGTCTTTGTGCCTGCTGTGGCTGCCATTCTGTCCCATTCCCCTGACCCTTGCTGCCCTTAGCCACTCAGGAGGTAGGCAGGAGGATCTCTATGAATTAGAGGCCATCCTGGTCTACACATTGAATTTTGGGCCAGCTAGGGCTACATAGTGAGAGTCCATCTCAGAAATAATTCTTGTAAAACAAGGATGAAGTGAATCCTTAAACAGATAAAAAAAAAGAGAGAGAGAGAGAGTAGCATATACTACAGGGTGCAGTGGTGCACATTGATCATCATCAAACAGCTCCTTTCTGTCTCCATAATTTTCCGTTTTTCAGCTACCTGGAGTATAGTTTTGGAAAATGCCATACCTTGGGACATACCTTTTAACCTGGATGTTAAGGCCCAAAAGACACATAAACACAGCTACTATCCCAGTCCTTCCCATGTTGCCTTGAAAGCTCCATTAAAATTTTTCTTCAGAAAACAACTGTTAACATTAAGAAAGACAGTGAAAGGGATGCAGTAAATCAAGGAGCTTTCCTTCAGCCATTGATCATCTTCCTGTTAATTATTTAGCAGATGTAGTCAAGTGTCAAGTGCTGTCCTTTGTGTGGGACCGCAGTGGAGGAGACAGCGGACACAGCCCTGTCCTGCTGGGTGAAATGTCTAACATCAGTAGAGAAGGAGAGAAGAGTTGTAGAAGCTGTTGAAAATGTTCATTTTTAAAAATTGAGTACCTGAGCCTTATGTTACAACAGAGCTTGAAAGACATTATTCTGGAGAGGGCTAAGGAAAGTGGTCTCATGAGCTCCTGGGTGCTGTTGCTCCTCACTGGCTAAGTTGAATGGCATACCAACATGTAGAAGGTGTAAGGGGCAATGGAAAAGCCATGGGTGGGATTTAGGGGTGATGAGTACATTTATTGACCAGGAAATGTCAAGCACACCAGAGAACAAAAGACAATGTGTCAGAGAGAGCTTTGTCATGGGTCATGACACCATTGCCAGTAAGAATGCCCACTTTCTCCCTGCATATTTTAATTGTTAGCAACCACTGAGTACCACATTATGGCTGGTAACACCTGGAAGGCAGAGCTTGCCGAAGACCAACCCTTGGGAGTCATACATTCTAAACCAGTGTTGATTTTCTTGAATAGACAAATCCGAACAAGGAGAAAGTGATACGGGGATCATGTAAACAGGATATCATCACTTAAAACCAACAAGAAATTTCCAGCAAGACAGCATTATTCTGTTCACATGGGAAAGTCTCTCACTGGTGCTCATTACACTTCAAGGTCTTATCTAGTCCCTGAACTGCTTCACAACAAGTAGGTGAAACACTTGGATACAGAGAAGTGTTTTATCCTAAAGTCAAGCTTTATCAGAATTGATGCTTCCTCTTCAGACTGGGGTAGCAGTCTGGAATGTATGGAAAGAATGCATCAGTCCCAAAGAAGATATCAAGACTCAGCTGAACCCTGTATAACAGCTTTTATCATATTTAGATGCTAATCTCTGTGTGGTATAGAGATTGACACAACTGTTACCAAAAAAAAAAAAAAAAGTAGAGATATATTGAGGAGAAAGTGAGTAATCTAAGTATGGAGGACAAGGAAGGATAGAGACCAACAAGGGCAACATCATGGAACAATGTCCCCACTGTCCAGCAGTGTCCAAGTCCATGAGTGTGGCCGAGCCAGTGCAGAGCCCCAGAAAGCTCTCCTTCCCAGCTTGGTTAGTGCTCTTCTTTCTCTTCACCATTTTCATTAACTCCTGGCCAGGCTTTCTTATTCTGCATTTAGTATGCAATTGTCAGTATTGATATCAGTGAAGTCCTCATGGCTACCATGCTAAGTTCTTCAGAGACTGCAGCCTCCCAGTGCCTTTGCAGGAACAACACATTCTCACCATTTGGGGAAGCCCCTCAAAGATGGCATTACCTCTTTTCCATGAAGCAGCAACAGCACATCTTCACTTAAACTGTCTAATTTGCTCTATGGAAATCTTTTGGAATCCTCTCCTAGGAATGTGCTAGCCAGAATGAACAAGAAGACTCTGATACACAGAGTAGTTTCCAGGTAGCCAGCATCTGTTGAGGTGCATTCTGGTCCTGGCTATCAACAACTGTGAAGTAGACAGATAGCCACTGAATCCATAATGCCACATTTAGAGGCAATTATATTACCCAGCCTTAACCCAGTTTTAAATTGAATAGAATAAAATGCATTCTGGAACATTCCTTAAGGGAAAGAATCTGATAATTCACCCCACCACACCACACCACATACTGAATAAAAAAAAGGTGCTTACTCTGGGCAAGAGGGTTCTGAAGATATCAATAGAGGAGCTTTAATATACCTTAATATACCTTGGAATTCAGTTAGCTACAATTTCACGGTGGCTAAATAATTTATAGTAATTGACAATTCATTAGATTATAATTCACCACCACCAAACCTACGGATTTCCCAATATCTTTTAAAACACACATTTTCAAAGTGAAGCGTGGCATTTGCTATGTTCATTGCTCCCACAACTGTCTGATTTTATTAGTTTAGAATGCACGCTATTACTTAAACCTGAATCATTTGGATGTTTTCCCCTAACACAGAGACATAAACCTAGGAGCATTGCATTAGCTCATTAAGCCTCTTGATTCCAGCAGTTTCTGGCCTTAGCTAAAAGCAATCTACTACATGTGCTTCGGTGGCACCCTATTCACCCTGCTCCACAAACATAAACACAGGCATGGAGTAGACGTGCCTACCAATGTACTTGCCACAAACACAACACATGGACAGCTTGGTGGATTATCAAGTAAATTCTTGTAACTGTTCTCCAAGGAAAGAAATAAAACCTTGCCAAACATGTCCCACCCTGATTACAGTTCCCTCCTCTCCTTCTTGCTATGCCATCCTTACATAGCTGAGGATGACTTTGAACTTGTGATTATCTTGCCTCCCTCTCCTCAATGCTGATAATACAGGCTTTGTGCCTCTAAGCCTAGTGTTATGCAGTACTGGGGATCAAACGTAGTCATCTCCTGACTCTTGACAACTATTCATCTGTTTTCCGTCTTCATCACTTCTTTAAGGAGACCAAGAGTGAAGTAATATTGCATAAAATTTTGAGAATGCCTTTCCCCACATAGCACCATTTCCTTTGGTCCATTCATGTTGTCTAGCGATAGCTGTACTCCTTTCTTGTGGACTAGCAAGCCATCATATAGCTATGCTAGTTGGTTTAAGGATTGACTCATTGAAGATGATACAGTTTGAGTTCAATTTTTAGCTCTTCTAATAAAGCTTCTATGAACAATTATGAATGGATTTTTATATGAACATAACTTGTATTCTTCCATGATAATCAATAATGCAATTTCTGGACTATATGCTCAGTTTTTTTAGAAGAAATTGTTAAGCTGTTTTCCCTAGTAATTGGACCATTTCACATTCCTAGCAGCAATACACGAGCAACCCCAACTCTCTGCGTCCTTTCTAGTATCCTACTTCCCACTTTAAAATTCATTAGTACCACATTAATTTATAGATCCCCACTGCATTGTTTTCCTTTCTTTCCTGTTAGTTTGTGAAGATCCCAGGCAGGTTAACTACAGAGTTTCCCAGTCTGGTTTTTCTGGCATCCTCATGTGAACTTCAATTAGTAGCTGGATCCAGAGACTTAATCAGATATAATCTGATCCCCTGGTGAGATACAGACTGTTCCCCAGGTGTGTTCTTCCACAGGAGGCTCAGAGTGGTCTGTAGCTTCTGCACCTCTGAGAGCTGTGACCCTTGAAGCTCAGCACCTAAATCTATTCCTTTGTTGTATGTAAGATGTGGACAATGGTCATATGTTAGTTATAGGTTCCTCTGTTGTTAATTACATGTTTTAATTTGTTGTGTGAAACAGTTGTCTAAACATCCTTTCCTTTCTCATTTTCTTTATAAAGTAGTCACAGGTTGAACTCTGGTACTCCCCTCTCCCCACATTCTGAGCCTTCAGGGTACTATGGTCCTTGACTATCATTCACACTTGTCCAATTACTTTTTTAAAAAAACATTACTAGTGAAAGGGGAAAATTAATAAAAGTCTAAAACCCAGACTCCAAAGCCCAAATAGAAAATGCTGAGTTCCCAAAAGGCAGCCCAGCAGACAAGGTTAAACACAGGTCCACAGGACTCAAGCCCTTAGGCGAGATATCACACCCTAGAATGATGTCCACATTCCTCTGGTCCAAAGAGGATCAGATAGTTATCAATTGTAGAAGTCCCCAGCCCAGGAGACAATTAACAAACTCATTTCCTCTAAGCTTCCTGCTTAATTACACCTTGCAAGAAGCATACAATCATTGTCCTATCCTGTGTAACT